GTAGATTGACGGAAAGATAGATTGAGAGATAGATAGATTGAGAGATAGATAGATAGATTGAGAGATAGATAGATAGATTTCTGTGTGTATTTTACGTTTATTCTGTGTCTATTCAGTGCGTATTTTTTATGTATTCTGTGTGTATTTCACCTGCATTCTATGTGTGTTTCCCGTGCATTCTGTGTGTATTTCAAGTGTATTCTGTGTGTATTTCCCGTGTATTCTGTGTGTATTTCCTGCATTCTGTGTGATCTATTTGGTGTATCTGTGTGGTATTTCTGTGTATTCTGTGTGTATTTCCCGTGCATTCTGTGTGTATTTCCTGTGTATTGTGTGTGTATTTCCCGTGTATTGTGTGTGTATCACCGTGTATTCTGTGTGTATTTCCCGTGTATTGTGTGTGTATTTCCCGTGTATTGTGTGTGTATCAGCGTGTATTGTGTGTGTATTTCCAGTGTATTGTGTGTGTATTTCCCGTGTGTTGTGTGTGTATCACCGTGTATTGTGTGTGTCTGTAGGCTCTGGTGAGTCGCATGGAGCTGCTGTCCCGACTGCGCTATGTGCTGACCTCTGTCAGGCCCCAGGCGGTCACCGTGACCAACGTGCTCAACATCCTGTCCCGCGCCGCTCAGCACTCGCTCAGCACAGCCTACCAGGTAAACACTCAGCACTCGCTCAGCACAGTCTACCAGGTAAACACTCAGCACTCTCTCAGCACAGCCTACCAGGTAAACACTCAGCACTCTCTCAGCACAGCCTACCAGGTAAACACTCAGCACTCGCTCAGCACAGCCTACCAGATAAACACTCAGCTCTCGCTCAGCACAGCCTACCAGGTAAACACTGGCTCAGCACTCTTTCCTATCAAACATCTGTCGTCCTTATCTCTCCTCCTTCTTTCCTATCAAACATCTGTCATCCTTATCTCTCCTCCTTCTTTCCTATCAAACATCTGTCATCCTTATCTCTCCTCCTTCTTTCCTATCAAACATCTGTCGTCCTTATCTCTCCTCCTTCTTTCCTATCAAACATCTGTCGTCCTTATCTCTCCTCCTTCTTTCCTATCAAACATCTGTCATCCTTATCTCTCCTCCTTCTTTCCTATCAAACATCTGTCGTCCTTATCTCTCCTCCTTCTTTCCTATCAAACATCTGTCGTCCTTATCTCTCCTTCTTTCCTATCAAACATCTGTCGTCCTTATCTCTCCTCCTTCTTTCCTATCAAACATCTATCGTCCTTATCTCTCCTCCTTCTCTCCTATCAAATATCTATCGTCCCCATCTCCCCTCCTGTTCTCTTTCTTACTCCATAGTTACCCCCCAACCTCTATTGTCCCCATCTCCCCTCCTGTCCTCTCTATGTTACTCTATAGTTACCCCCCACCATAGTTACTCCCCACCATAGTTACCCCCCCACCATAGTTACCCCCCCACCATAGTTACCCCCCACCATAGTTACCCCCCCACCATAGTTACCCCCCTCCATAGTTACCCCCCACCATAGTTACCCCCAATCTTCAACTCTTGTATCACCTACTTGTGTTAGAAGTGCCGTAAAACTTGCAACAAAAACAAAAAGGAGAGAATATTTCACTTTGTGTTTGTTAGCTACTAGTCAAAGAACATTGTCCCTGTACTTATGACCAGTCAAAGAACATTGTCCCTGTACTTGTGACCAGTCGAAGAACATTGTCCCTGTACTTATGACCAGTCAAAGAACATTGTCCCTGTACTTGTGACCAGTCAAAGAACATTGTCCCTGTACTTATGACCAGTCAAAGAACATTGTCCCTGTACTTATGACCAGTCAAAGAACATTGTCCCTGTACTTATGACCAGTCAAAGAATATTGTCCCTGTACTTGTGACCAGTCAAAGAACATTGTCCCTGTACTTATGACCAGTCAAAGAACATTGTCCCTGTACTTATGACCAGTCAAAGAAC